TGCTCTCTCAGGGATGCTGTGAATGGCAAACACGGACCACATAAGAGTGCCCAGCACGGTGCCTGGCACATGGTGGGGCAGCTGCCAGCTGCCATCAGAAACCGGCAGGGAGCGTGTGCATTGTCCAGCAGCCCAAACCAGAGGAGCCCTCCCCCACTTCGGGGGGAAGCCGGACCAGGCACGCACCTCTGCTTCCGGCAGATGGACAGGTACAGGTAAAGGAAGGCCAGCACGGCCAGACGCTCGCGGTCTGCACAGTCCTCAGGGAAGCCCGCCACCTCCTTCAGCTTCTCCACTTGCTCCGTGATGTCACCTTGCTCTGTCACACAGCAAACAAGGACATGTGGATGGGTGAGACTCGGACGCTCTTACAGACAACGGGACACAAAGAGCTGCTGGTCACCGCAACCGGGACCTGGGTGGACACGGCACCTGGTCACAGCAACCGGGACCTGGATGGACACGGCACCTGGTCACAGCAACCGGGACCTGGATGGACACGGCACCTGGTCACAGCGACCGGGACGTGGGTGCACACGGCTCACGGCCGAGCACCACAGCTGCGTCTGCCGGGGGGCTCCGGGCTTCGCAGGCAGGAGGCTGGGGATGGGTCCTGACTGGGAGGCTCACTGGCTTCCTGGCCTTGAGCCTGTGCCTTAACCCTCTGAATTCGGGCCCCTCCTTGGTAAATGGGGGTAACAACAGCACCTCCTCACCAGTGTCATGGAATAAAGTAAAATAAGGCACATAACTCCTTCGCACGCACAGCTTCTGGCACACAGGAAGCGCCCAATTAATAGTTTAAAGCATACACATGCACGTGAACAGTGAATGCTAGCACAAGCATCAGAGGCCTGGGTTTGACAGCCACGGTACGAAACCAGCACCAGAGGCCGCGACACGCTGCTCCCCATTACTCCCCTCCCAGAGCACGACCAGAACAGGACACTCAATAAAACCCGTGAAGGCGAAATACGGAGACCTGCCTGGGCAGGAGGGACCGGCCGGGAGGCAGTTTCTCTTCCGGTGCCAAGTGAGCCGGGCACTCTCATCGCGGAGGCGGAGGCGCAGAGCGAGCAGAGCAAGTCCGACGAGCTCGCCTGTGCACACCGCTCCCTGGGACTTGAAATGAGCCGGGTGTGCCGGTGAGGAAGCGTCAGGGCGGGCATGTAAGTGCTCTGTGTTGACTGGATTAATGACATTAAAGGCAGCCGGGCCAGTGACAGTGGCCCTGAGAGCCCAGGCATGTCAGAGCTCTGTGAGGGAGACGGGCTGGTTCGTTAAGAGCCCGGGCTTTGATTTTGGGAAGACCCGAGTCTGAATCCTCTCCGTGTCACTGAGCCCCATGACCTGAGCCACTTGGCCCCTGAACCTCAATGTTCTCATCCATAAAATGGGGATGAATCACACCACCTACTTCCAGGGAAGGCCGGGACTCCAGGAGCACAGCATACGTAGTTCTGTGCCTGGCACCCATAAAGGCCCAGTAACCGTTCCCTGTGGGTATTACTAGTACTAGGAGGGAACCAAAGAACACGGAGAGAAAATAATGGTGGATCCTGCAACAGAATAGAAAACACTAGTGTCCAAAAGGCTCAGATTCCCTGTCTCCTTGGGGGAAAATGAAACAAGCCCTCGTGTCTGCACTGCACTCTGCGTCACAGCCCCAGGCCCAACTCTGACACTGAACTGCCTAATTATGATTAATTACCTAATTAATATTAATTGCTGGCTCCTCACAGCCACCTCCCAGGTAACAGAACTCAGCTCAGAGTTAAGTGACCCGCCCAGGCTCACACAGGGAGTCAGGAGTGGTGAGACGTGTCCCATCCCGCCTGGCTGCTTCCACCCGTGCCGATGACGCCTAGAAGCGGCAGCCAGTTCTCAGGGGGCGGTTCCAGCCGGCTGGGCGGCCCTGTGACCATGAAAAGCAAGGTCCGGTGCTCGGGACCGCTGGTTTCTGAGGCAAGATCCAAAGCAGTGCTCCTCACTGAGGTGTCCCTGCGATCACCCCGCGGAGCCCCTTTTCAAAATACACATGCCGGTCCCCTACCTACCACCACACCTGCCACTCCCGAGTCTCAGCAGAAGGGCAGGACCAGGAATCCAGCAGAGCTGCTACAAGCAACAACGAACCTCCTCAGGGAACCTCAAGGCAGGACTGAGCTTGAAAATGACTGGAAAATGGCGGTTTTCCACCCTTTCTCCTTCTCCCCCCAGAATCAGAGCGGCTGAGTGCTTGCTGCGGGCTGATTCCGTGGGCACAGGAGCGGCTTCGGAGAAAGCCTGGGGGAGTCGCCTTTGCCCACCCTGGCCGAGAACCACTGTTCCGGACAACAAGGCGTCAGTCCCGAGAGGAGACTGAGATCAGGACGCACGCTCTCGCTCTGACCCAGGAAGTGGTGGCTCCGCAGATGAAGGCGCCTAGCTGCGCGGGGTGGACCCGGCATTCCCACGGCTCGCAAAAATTAGCACGGGCCTCTATTTACCGGGAGACAGTCCTGATATACGGAAGAAAAAAGGAGTCATGCGGCCTGTCCAGTTTAGTTAAAAAACAAGATATCTCCCTATCTCAATCAGTCTATCAACAGAAAATAACCCAGAGGGATTAACACCAAGATGCTTAAGAGTTGTCATGAGGGATGGTGATAACAGATGATTTTTTTTTTACTTGCAATCTTCCAGTATTGACTGTATATATAATAAGCATAAGTTACTTTTAAGAGATTTTTTATTATGTAAAATGCCAATACATTCTCCTTGTTAAAATAACATTAAAACAACATTTGTCCACTCCTGGGCCTTCGGACCCTCCAGTAGTAACTACTCACCATTGTCCGTTGGGTGGATATCTTCCCAGCCCTTTCCGATGCGTTTGCCTACACACCGATACTTAACCTGTGTCATTCCTAATCACACTGCACCCGCCCTTGTGTAGCTTGTTTTTCCACTCAACAGTAGGTCCTGATTGCCTGTCCACAACAGCCCACACAGATCTAGCTAGTGCATCATTTTATGCTTTTGAATTTTAAAAAAATTAATAAGTGAAGCTAATTACATGCGGTCCAGAGAGAAAACCCCAGAGTGACTGGCTCTGGCTCCCTCGGAACAGCTTAGAATGACTGTCCAGCCTCGCCTTATCCGCTCCTTCAGGGCCCAGCTCCGCCCACACCGGTTCCTCCTCCTGCACTTACCCAGGAAGCTGGTGTCCAGCAGCTGGAGCCGGGCCACATCCCAGATCCTCTGGACGCCAATGTTTGGTAAGCTGAGGCCCACTTTCCCATTGCTGCGGGGTTGAAGCCGGAGAAAGGTTCTCAAGTTCAAGGCCACAGCCAGTGCTACCTATAGGGCAAAAGCAATGAGCCTGCGGGTGGGCAGCAACAGGCACGACTCCTGTCTCAGGGAAAAGGGGACAACGTCAACTCCGTGCTGGTTCACAGGCCACTGCCACCCGGGCCGTGGCAGACGCTGCTCACCAACCGTGGCGTGCTCCCCACGTAGCCTGGGCACAGCCCCTGCCCACCGAGTAGGGGTTAAACTGTACTGAGGTCTGCCTTCCCCAGGCAAAGCCTCAGAGGTTCACGCCAAGGAATGGCTGCCCGTAATGACCACGTTTCGAGGGCAAGAACATCAAGACAGAGGAGGAGGAGTGGGAAAAGCATGAGCTGTGGGCTCCGACGGACTTGGGTTCACTCCCAGCTCCCCCAATCCTCTCCGAGCCTCAGCCTCCACGTCAGTGGAACAGGATAATAAAGAGCAGCCGCAGGGGCAGTTGTAAGAGTTACGTGAGATGACGCCTGTTTAGACTCCTGTGCTGGGGCCTAGCGTCCTCCCACTCTAAATGGTGAAGGTCCCCAGACGTCAATCCTCAAACCTCTCTCTTCTCCGCCGAAGCTCCTGCCTCAGCCTCTGATTCACCCCCAGGCTGGGCGGGTCGACAACCTCTGCTCTCAGAGTGGGCTGAGCGGCCCTGCGGTGGGCACAGGCCCGTCTTTTCCCTGCCTGGCTGGGGAGACTGACCTCCTCGCCCACGTACTATCAGGCCATGTGTCGAGGCTGCCTGTTAGCTCCCGTCCCGGTTAGCGCCAGGGACAAGGGTGCCGTCCTCCGTGCAGGCGGGCCCTTTACCTTGCCATGGACCACGGCATGCTCTCCGTGCAGGATGACTTTCCCGGGCGCCGACACCAGCAGGCCTTCTGGCAACATGGCTCGGGGCTCCTGAAAGGGAAAGCCAGAGGGTGGACTCCCGGATCTGGAGATGCATACAAGTCCGAGTGCCAGCGCGTCACTTAGAAAGAAGGCGGCTGCTCTCAGCGTCACCAGACGCGCCAGAGAGACCTGGGCCGCACGCAGCTCTTCGGCTCCCGCGGGATGTCACCTTGGCTAACTCGCTTCTATGGCTCCGGACCCGGGTCCCCGTGTTAAGTGAGGACATAGCTGCGCCCACCTCAGGAAGCTTGGGGTTAAATAAAGCGAGGGAAGCACTTGTCCCCGCTCCGTCACTGAGGGCTGCTATAATGGCTGTTCTTGGTTCCCGATTTTATTACTATTAAAGGCAGAGACTTAAGTGAGATCGTGGGCCCCAAAGAACTCTTCCCCGGACACGCGGGCTGCTCCCGAGGGGTCGGAGCTGCACTGAAGCGCGACCCCCACCGCAGTCCCACAGTCACCGGCTGAGTCTCGGGGGCGCGCATTTTTATTTTCATAAATAATGCAAAATGGCCCTCCATTCAAGGCTTCACGTGCACTGGTCACGTCGGCAGGAGAAGACCTGAAGCTCGCTGAGCACCAAGTACAACCGCGACCCCCGTTTCCAGCCGGGGAAACCGGGCTCGGGCGGGGAAACGTACGGCTTCACCGATGCCGGAAAGCACGTCCGTCAGGCTCGCGGTCCCGCCCCTGGGCTCTCGGTTGGAGAAGCAGCCAGAGAAGCCGGGAGCCCGGCCCAGCGTCGCCCCCGGTCTCGGCTCGCGCCCCCAGGCCCCACAACGCTGGCCTCTCCCTCACCTGCCGCCGCCGGAATCTATCCCGGAGCGCACGAGCCGCCCCTTCCGCTCAGCCAATCGGAGCGCGCGAGCATTGGCCAATAGGTGCTGTCTACCAAGACGTCACGGGTTTCCCCGCCCAGCTCCTCCCGCGAACCAATAGGAAACGAGATCCTGGGAGTGTCCCGCCCGGGGCCGAGAGCCACGGACCAATGGAAATAGAGGCTGAGCGGTGGCGCGGCGGGCGGTAGGTGGAGTAACCCCGGGACCTGGACGGGAGCCTGGCGGGCTCAACCCCGACGAGCGGCTTGGACATGGCTGTGTGGGTTTGGGGGGGCCGCCTTGGCCTCCGCGGGTGCCTCGCGGCTGGCAGGCTACTTCGTCCCCGTTTCCAGAGCCGCGGTTCCCCGGGCGTAGAAGACGGGGACAGGTAAGTGCCTGGCTGGGAAGGTACCCGACACCCAGAACTGTCGTCGCATAGTGACGTCACACGGCTGTGACGTCCTGCCGGGTGAGTCCTCTTTCCTGACGTCACCACGGCGATGTAGGCACCGTGGGAGCCAGAGAACCAGGTTTCTGTGCACAAGAAAACTGCACGAAGCTCAGGGCAGGACATGTCCCTTGTGGGCCGGGAGGCCGTCCCGCCTGGCTCCACGGCCAGGAGGGCCTCCATTCAGTGTGCACCGACCCCCAAAGCAGCTTATACTTTCAGACCCAGAGGCGCACTGCGCGATGGAAGCATGGCGGTCATCTAGACCTTGAAACCCGCACCCCTACCCGGGCCTGGGAACGGAGAGTGCCATGATTAATAACGCAGCCAGATGTTACTCCTAGATCCAGTGTCTTAACCTTTGCAAAACCTTGCAATGTCCTATTTTAGTGTTGAAGCCTGTATTAAAGGTGTTATGTGGCTATTTGGAAATGCCAGTTTTTAACCTTGTTTTGGCAGTTCTTTATTTCTGAGGATCTTGAAGTTTCATAGAGAGGACGTGGTCCATGTTTCTCACCCACTCCCCCCCCCCACCACCACCAGGAGGCCCCGACTTGGTAGAGTAGAGGGTACAGTTTGGGGTCTGGAGTAAGATGGCCTTGGGCCTGAGTCCCAGCCCTCCCCTCCTGGGTGACCTAGGAAGGAGGGTCTCGTCTTGTGAGCCACAGTTCATAGTAAAATGGTCCTGGGTAGTGCCTACCGTTGGAGCTGTGGGAAGACCCCAGGGACAATTTCAGGGTATAATGCTGGCAATCCCTTCTGCACAGTGCAGGGGCTGTGGAAAGGTGATTGATACGTTATTTCAATGAGTATTTATTGAGCTTCTGCATTGAAAAATATACTACATCAGCTACTCTGCAGACATGGATGTGGGCAAGACACAGAACCTGCCACAAGGGCTTCCAGCTAAGAGGGATATGGAGGGGAAGGATGTCAACGAGCGTTAAGCATGAGGGGTGAGTGCTGCCTCGGAGGCCATGAGCAGCAAGCTGGGACCCACGGAGGGAGGTGCCCCGCGTGGAAGCCACCCCCACTCACCACCTCTTGATGTCTGTTTTCTCATTAGGCCACAGCCTCCCTCGAAGACACCCAAGATCCCCAAGATTTACACCAAAACAGGAGACAAAGGTACGGTGGGGAAGGTGAAAAATGCAGAGACACGGCAGGCTCCATTTTAAAGTTCTTCCAAATTCTTTGCAGCCGTTAAAAAGTGTGTGGCAGCCCTGGCTCAGTTATTACACTTGAAATAGACATTTTTCTAAAAAGTGCATATCGGCGAAAAAATCTTATTTTGGGCAGCTGAACATTTTTTCCCCCACAGGGTTTTCTAGCACCTTCACTGGAGAAAGGAGGCCCAAAGACGACCAGGTGTTCGAAGCCTTGGGAACTACAGATGAATTAAGTTCAGCCATTGGGTAAGGGAGATGGACTTGGCCTGGAGGCGGAGTTTGAGTTGGGCAGCAGTACAGGTGATTCACACGAAGCCTGTGTGACTGCTGGCTAGTCTGGAGGTTGCCACACCTTGACGAACCTGCCTCGGCCTGGCAGCACAGGCGCATCTGGCCAGCGCCACAGGCTGCCGGCTGCAGCTCCTTCCCTCTGTCCCACGCCGTGGGAAGCTGCCCTGCCCGCTGCCTCTGGCTCCCTCACGCTTCCCGTGAGTACGTGTGTGCTGTTGAGGCGCACATGTTAAGTGAAAGAAGTGAGTTGAGCCCAGCGCGTTGGATGTGGTCCCTTTGGTGAGTCTTGTTTTTTAAATAAGCGTATACACAGCCAGGGTTTAGAGGTGGACTCAGGGAGTTAGTCAGGATTAGTCAGGTCACGCTGTGATAACAGCAACCCTCAAACCTCATGATTCACAGCACCAAAGTGTATTCCGTGCTCTCCCATCAAGCCCATCACAGGCTGGGCGTGTTTCTGTTCCACAAGATGCCACTCTGGGACCTGGGCTGGCGGGACAGCCTCTGTCCAGGACAGCACCAGGCGTTGTGGCAGAGGGAACAGTGATCACGCTAAAGCTCACACTGGCTCGGAAGTGACACATCACTTCTGCTCGCATTTCTCTGGCCAGAGCCAGTCACGTGGACATGCCTGACTGCAGTGCGGTGGGAGGGGCAGCGGTGTTTGATGACAGTTGTCCAGTCCAGCTGCTGACAGTGTGAGGGGCACTTGTCTCACGTGCTGGTTCAGGAGCTCTGTGGGTGACGGTCATGGGAACCACACAGACCTGGCTTCAGATTCTCTACCTCTGCTGACTGGCTGTGTTGCTTCAGGCAAATCACCTGGCCTCTCTGAGCCTCAGTCTCCTGTTCTGTCCAATGATCATAGTAATGGCTGCCATCTCATTAGGTTCTGGTCAGGATTGAATAAGATAATTCCATGCTCACCCTAAGACAGTGCCTGGTGCAAGTCATAGCAATGCCAGCGGGTATTTTTATTAAAACTTCCCTGTTTGTGGCTTCCATTTCTCAAGGATGGGCCTGACCAGGTGAGACCTTCGGGACATAATGGGAGGTGTAGGTGGTCTCCCAGGAGGGTAGAGAAGGCAGACCCCTTGGTGTGGGGGGCGGTGGGGAAGCAGGCAGACACAAGATGATGTGGGCAGAGGGGAGGGAAGGCGGATCCTAGCATCAGTTACTTAGAATCAGCAAATGGCAAGCCCTCACTTTTGGGTGATGTGGGGCAGGAGACTGGCGAAGCCTCGTTGTGGAAGCTCCCTGTGTCAGCTAGTGACTGAGCACCTCTGTGTGCCAGGCGCTGCTGAGCAGGGAGCCCCGGCCCTGCTTTGTGGGGCTCTCAGTCTGGTGGGGCAGGGGTGGGGCAAGACAGACACCAAAGGGGCGACCACAAGTGGTGGGAGCTGGGATGGGGCGAGCACCGAGGAGGGGCCTACAGCTGGCCGACATCCGGAGAACACCCTCAGGGAGCACCTGCCACGTGCCAGGCATGAGGCAATGCTGTGCTGGACAGAAGGTGTTCCAGCCCGGCTCGCCCCTCCGTGCACCCAGCGGGGAGGACCAGCCTAGACTGCTGATTACACGTGTGCTTGGTTCTAACGTGAAGCGGGCTAGGGAGATGCCCCGGTGGTCCTGCTTGCCCTCCCAAAGCCATTCTCTTTGTCTCTGTGCCTGGGCGAGGCTGACCTTTATCACCTGGTGGTGGTTTCATGCTGATTCCTTTGTCCTCTGGCTTTCAGGTGGGCCTGGCCAGTGGGAGGCACCGCGGGAGCCGTGAGGGGTCGAGAGGTGCGGGTGTTGCCCGGCTCCCGGCTGCAGGTGGCTCTGGCGGTAGCTGGCCTCCCGCCTACTCTCTCTCCCGCTGTGTGGCTCCTGGTGGCGGCCCCCACCGAGGAGCAGCTCTCCCCAGGCTCCAGGGCACCTTTGACCCTCCCTGGGCCCCTCAGGCTTCGGCTCTTGCCGATCTTTGCCTCTGTTAGCAGTTTCCATAACTCGTCCCATGCTGTTAGCCGCCCCTTTGCACAGCTTTTCCCTGGGAACCCTTCGAAAGCACCACTGTCTGTCCCCTGCCAGGACCCTGACGGCACAGAAGTGGAGGGCAGAGTCCGAGGGAGGCCAGTGCCTGACCTGCCCTGGGCACCTTCCTTCCCCGACCCGCTCCTTCCCAGGAAACTCCTATTCGGCCTTTAAAGTCCCACCTGCAGCATCGCTTCCTCCGGGAAGCCCTCCTGAGCCCTAGCCAAGGCCAGGTTTTCCAGGAATCAAGCCCTTTCCTTCAGAGCACTGGCTTCAGTTTGCAAGTTCACCTTCAGTCATGTGACAGTCAGTCCATGTCTTCCCCTCCTGCTGCATAGAGCTCACCATGGAATCACCTGGACCTGGCCAGAGTAGGCACTGAACAGGCATTGTTGACTGGATGAATCATTAGTATAAGAAAAGGCGTTTTGAGAAACAAATACCCTTAACCAAGTGGAAGGTTATGAGGTTCTTATTGCCAGCAAGAAATAACACCAAGGCTATTATAGCCAAGTTAGCTGAATGGCCCGTCACCTGAGAACCATGGTCTTACAGCAAAGCAGGGCCTGGGGATGTTATGTTAGAGGCAGATTCTTTTTCCTTTTCCCTCATAGGTTTGCTATGGAATTAATTTCGGAAAAGGGCCACCCATTTGCTGAGGAGCTTGAGAAAGTGAGTAACATTTTTTGTTTACCCCTGAGGCCTGGTGACTGTAACTGCATTTGGCATTTGATCATCGCTTCCTCTCTGTGTCACCTGGGACTGTCACTCTTCCTCTGAGCCTCAGTTTCTCCATCTGTAAAATGGGGACACCCAGATAATCCTCCCTCCCAGGCAAGTGGTGAGGATTGGTCCAAGAGAAGGAAATGTGAAGGGTTGTCCGTGCTCTCTGCCCCCCAGGGGACATTTGACAATGTCTGGAGACATGGTTGGTTGTCCCAACTGGAGGCGGAGGTCCTGGCATCTAGTGGGTGGAGGCCTGGGATGCCGCATGCAGCCTGCAGTGCACATGACAGCCTCCGAGATAAACCACCCAGGATCGGGGCGAGGAGATTCCTCTTGGCCGTCACTGGGCGCTCGACGCTCATTGTCTTCCTAACCCAGCTGTCCCCACGTGAGCCAGGTCTCCTCTCCACGGGGCTGGCGTCCAGCACGCTGAAAGTGCAGGCAGTTTGCTAATTAGCCTTTCAGTGCTGCTGATTAAAGCTCTGACAACCCCCACCAGGCCAGCCGCATGCCTTGCTGTCAGGTGGCACCTTTGCATGGGGAGCCAGGAGCCACAATAGATCTTCACTGGCACCTTCTGTTGCTTCCCCAGATACAGTGCTCCCTGCAGGACGTTGGCTCCGCCCTGGCGACACCCCGCTCCTCCGCCCGGGAGGCTCACTTAAGTAATTCGCTCTCTGAGCCGCGTGTGTACTGGGAGGGCCCTGCGGGGGTTGGACTGAGCGGGGACTCTCCTGGGTGTCACGTGGGACCCCGTCAGCCTGGCCCGCAGACCCTGAGAGGGTCGTGGGAGTGGTTTGGAACGCACCGGGCGGAAGGGCACCGGGCGGTTTCCTCGATGCTCGCGGTTTCCTCATGGCCGTGTCCTACTCCTTGGCTCCTCAGGACGCACCACATTTGAGTCGGGGCGCGTCCTGGAGCTGGAGCAGTGGATCGACAAGTACTCCGGCCAGCTCCCCCCTCTCACGGCTTTCATTCTGCCTGTAGGTACTGGGCAGCCTCCCCCTGGGGTGGCTGCAGGCCACGTCCCCCTCTCTAATATTTTACAGTGACAGAGCTGCCCTCCACGTCCCCTGCCCTCCCAGCCCTGTCCTCTCTGAAGGGGTGCCCAGGGCTGTGCCCCGGCGGGGCCCTCTGCATGCAGAACACTGCGTGCTGGGGCAGGGCCCACCCTCCGTGTGAGGAGCGTGCTGTCTGCACTGGGCACACCCGCCCGCCCCTCCCTCCACCCAACGCCTGCTTTCTCCTTCCAGTCGGGCGGCAAGAGCAGCGCTGCACTGCACTTCTGTCGGGCCGTGTGCCGCCGGGCTGAGAGACGGTGAGGGCCCGGGCAGAGGGGGCCGGAGGCAGGCGGGGGGGTCACCTCCGTGTCGTCCAGCCACCACAGCAGACCTCCTGGTCTGCCCGTCGTTGGTGGTCAGCAGACAGCGGCCCACTGTCTAGAATGTCCACGTAGACCGGCAAGGACCCCAGGTCACGCTGCGGTGGCCGTGACTGCTGGCGGGGACGGAGCCCTGGGCCCTGCAGTGGCTGATCCTGTGACGTTGATCCCGTGTGACGCAGTGACTCCTCCCTTTCCAGCGTGGCGCCTCTTGTCCGGATGGGTGAGACGGATGCAAACGTGGCCAAGTTCTTAAACAGGTACTTACATGGAAACTGGAGATCTCTGACAAACGCGACATGATGGGAAGTAGCAACAACGGAACGGGCCTCACTCATTCACTTCACATTCAGTGAGGGCGTCTGTGCCCAGCACTGAGCCGGGCACGGGATGCAGCAGAGAGCAAGGCGGTACCAACCCTGTCACCAGTGAGGTGAAGGTCTTGTGGGAGAAGCTGCTATAACGACCAGCGAAGAACATCGGAACGAATGGACAGTGCTGTGACAAGGGGCCTGCTTTGAGGCTGGTAACCAGGGAGACGGTGACAGGCGTCATGGTGGGGCCCAGGCAGGATAGAGACCTTCTCACAGCCGGTCTTCCCCTGGTGAGGCCCCTGGGCAGTGTGAGCGGAGGACACCTCCAGGCAAAGCGAGCTCAGGACCGTCCGGCTTAGGGCCCCCGCACAGGGCCCGAATCGCTGGCTGGGCCAGGGAGGTCCCCTGTAGCCCCGCCCTCAGCCTCGCCCCCAGGGCCACAGCTGGCCCAAGGCCTTCTCCACTGGGTTCTCCTTCAGCATTGGCTCGTGCAGTTCTAGTGGGGGCAAGGCCAGGCCCAGGGGCAGGCCAAGCGCTGGGGACCCCTGGGAGCCGTTCTGAGTGTCCAGAAAATGGCCTTAGCCAGGATCTGGAGTGGCCCCTTATTGTGGCCCACCCCTCCCACAGGAACATGGCCCAGGCTTTGATGGGTTCTGACCAACTCGTTTCCTCCTATGAGGGGAAAGGAATGTTGTATTCATGGGCACAGCTGAGACTCCTTGGGGGCGCTCTTGCACTGGAAAGGAACCAGGAATGAGGGGGGTCGGCCCTGGCACGGCCTGGAAAGTGTGGGTTCTTGACTTTGTGCAGGTCCTCAGCCCAGCAGTGTCTGCGTCACGTGGCGTGGGTTAGAACTGCAGAACCGCAGGCCTGGCCAGCTCCCCCAAATGAGAATCTGCAGGTTGTCAGGATCCCTAAGGACTCGTGTGCATGTTAGTTTGAGAGGTACTAGTCCTGGTCAGTGGACGGTGCAGAAAGCAGTTGAGACTGGCCCAAGGTCACCAGCCTCTGAGGTTGGGCAGGGGTAGCGGCCTTGTCCCCTAGAAACCCTCCAGCCCTGGCGCCAGAGTCGGGCACGTGGCTCTCACGGATGCTGGCTCCCAGTGCCATCTGTCAGGCCCAGGTTGGCCGCTGCTCTTCGTCCCACCCGGTGCTGCCGGGGCACGTGACTGATTTCCTTCTTGAAGGCTAATATGGGAAGGACCCAGTTAGCATCGATTGCCCCTTTCAGATCATTCCGTCTGCTTCTCTCTGTCCCTCCAGACTCAGCGACTATCTCTTCACGCTAGCCAGGTACGCAGCCATGAAGGAGGGGAAGCAAGAGAAAATATACAAGAAAAGTGACCCGTCGGACTGAACCCGAGGCGCTTGGGAACAGTGGAAAGGGGAGCCTTGTGGACCCTCCGGGGTGGCCACCAGGGAAGAGGAGTTTGCCTTGTCCTGGTTCCCGAAGGCCTAGCCTCAGGGCTGGACCAGGGTCTTTTGTCCGCGATCAGCTGCCTCCAGACCCCCTGCCACTTCCCTCGGGCAGCGGCTGCTGGAGAAATCTGCCCGCCAGGCTCTCCTTGGTCTTCTCGGGAGTGGGTTCACTGCAGAAAGGAGGGCGAAGTGATTGCTGTAATGAGAAGGATGCACAGAAAAGAATAAAAGTGGGAAAGGCTTGAACCGAGTGTGAGAGAGGGAGGGAAGAAGCGAGCATGAGAGAGCCCATCCATGTCAACTCTGCACGTCCAAGGACTGGGAGAGGCCCCAGAGCCCCCTGGGGTGTCCCTGACTTACCTGTGCCCATTTGTAAAGGGGAGGCAGACAGTGGAAGCGGAGTCGCCGGGAGCCCCCGGCACCGCCTCCGTCAGGGGAAGGGCCGCGGCAGCGTGACAGGTGAGGCTTGGGAACCACTCCCCGTGGGCCCCGTGTGCATGGCGGGTGCGGCCTGCAGAATGCTCTCCCAGGGGACCCTCCCCCACCCAGGGGTGAAGACTGGCGAGAGAAACGCCACCGCTTAAAGGAAGGCATCCTGCCCAGGCAGATGGTGTCAAGGGCTGAGGGAACATTCTCAGCTCAAGACAGGAAGGCCTTCCGCTTCCAGTGAGGCCGACAGGCGGGACGTAGCCCCTGATGCTGCGCTTGGCTGGTGTATGCTCAGATCCAGGCGTGGCTGTGCTTTATTTCACCTGTCACCGCCGCTCCCTCCCGCCGTGAAACGAGGCCGCCAGCGCCAGCTGTGTCCTTGGGAAGGGGATGTGATGGAGGGCGGGCAGGCAGCCTGGGCCCCTGCAGAGTCCACGCTGCTAACGGCAGGAAATGACTTGAGAGGGCAGGCTCGGCGGCTGAGGTGCCTGTGAACTCCATCCAGGGATCACGCGGGCTGAGCGCCTGCTTAGCCTGAGGCACCAGGAGGCTGGAGGCTGGGAGGCTGGTCCCAGCCGGCATGTCCGCCAGCATCCACACCGTCTGCTTTCATTCCTACCACCTCGCTGGGAATTTTGCTGGAGGAACAGGCACAAGTCCCTCCTGAGTCCTTTGTTCCCAGCAGGCTTCAGGGGCCCCTTAGGGCGGGCAGAGCTGCTGAGGTGCCCGTGACCGCCTGGTTCCCCCTGGGCCAGGGCGAGCGCCGGGCTGGTGCGCAGCGGCCTCAGTGCTGGTGACCAGCTGGAGCAGTGGAAGCAGCAGCCTTTCCGGAGGGCGGTGCGAGCTGCACTGGGGCGGTGCCCGGGGGTTTTGCTCCAAGAGCTGCAGCCACCGGCTCCATGCACTCAGTCTGCCGGCTCCTCAAGGTCTCCCCGGGAGGAGCAGGACACGGAGCAAAGCAACAGTCCCGACCCGCTCCTAGCCTCGGTGAAGGCCCACGGCAGACAGAAGCTCCTGAGGAAATGCAGCCACCTAATGGGAAGCTCTTGGGAGCAAGGCATGTGCCTGTCACCAAGTCCTGTCCCCCAGCCCTTGCTGGGAGGGACTGTCACAGGCCAGATGTAACCCAGGTTCCCAGGCCCCCTCTGCAGCTGCCCCCCCGCCCACAAGCAAGCGTTCCCTGAGAGACAGCCCGGGCGCAGGGCAGACTTGGCATCTTGAGGGTGTGCCCTGTGCCACCAACAGGAATCTGCTTTGCAGCTCCCGACGCAGCCACCCTGGAGCCCGGGGCAAGAGGCAAAGTGTGCACCCCATGCCCGCTTGTCAAGGTAGCCCCTTGTCTAGGACCCGGTCAGACAAGCATGCAAGCTCCACAGATAAAACACACGACCCTGCTCTCTAAAGCCCCAGTCGCCCGCCTGCACCGCTGTCGGCCGTCACGCATGACCCCCAGCGCCCAGCCAGGCAGGGTGGGGAGAGGAATGCAGGCTTTACTTAAAGCTGGTGCCTTGTGGATCAGGGGTTCTTGTTTTTGCATAATTGTGATTCTTAAAAGACTGAAAAAAATAAAAAACTAGATAAGTAAAAAGACTTTGAAAATATTACCTGGATTACTGGAGTTTGGGCGCTCCCATACATTCTGCACCCAAGAAGGTGCCTCGCCGGCTCACCCAGCTCAGGTCAGCTCTCGGGGCGCCAGAGATGAGCTGGTGGTTGGGCATCCCCGCAGGCGAACCCGCCATATTGATGGTGCCGGCCACTGCACGCCCGGCCCCGAGCTCCACAGACTTCATCTCATGCCCTCAGCACCCCCATCTCCACAGACTTCATCTCACGCCCTCAGCACCCCCATCTCCACAGACTTCCTCTCCTCACGCCCTCAGCACCCCCAGCTCCACAGACTTCCTCTCCTCACGCCCTCAGCACCCCCATCTCCACAGACTTCCTCTCACGCCCTCAGCACCCCCATCTCCACAGACTTCCTCTCACGCCCTCAGCACCCCCATCTCCACAGACTTCCTCTCATGCCCTCAGCACCCCCATCTCCACAGACTTCCTCTCCTCACGCCCTCAGCACCCCCATCTCCACAGACTTCCTCTCCTCACACCCCACGCACCCCCATCTCCACAGACTTCCTCTCCTCACGCCCTCAGCACCCCCATCTCCACCGTCTTCCTCTCCTCACACCCTCAGCACCCCCATCTCCACCGTCTTCCTCTCCTCACACCCTCTGCACCCCCATCTCCACAGACTTCCTCTCCTCACACCCTCTGCACCCCCATCTCCACAGACTTACTCTCCTCACACCCTCTGCACCCCCATCTCCACAGACTTCCTCTCCTCACGCCCACAGCACCCCCATCTACACAGACTTCCTCTCCTCACGCCCTCAGCACCCCCATCTCCACCGTCTTCCTCTCCTCACACCCTCTGCACCCCCATCTCCACCGTCTTCCTCTCCTCACACCCTCTGCACCCCCATCTCCACAGACTTCCTCTCCTCACACCCTCTGCACCCCCATCTCCACAGACTTCCTCTCCTCACACCCTCTGCACCCCCATCTCCACAGACTTCCTCTCCTCACGCCCACAGCACCCCCATCTCCACAGACTTCCTCTCCTCACACCCTCTGCACCCCCATCTCCACAGACTTCCTCTCCTCACGCCCTCAGCACCCCCATCTCCACAGACTTCCTCTCCTCACGCCCTCAGCACCCCCGAGGGAGCAGTGTGTGCTCTGCTTTGCGGGTGAGGAAAGAGGCTCACGGGAGCCCACTTGTCTCAGGGAGTCAGCACCAAAATGCGGCCCAGGAAGTGGCCTGTGCCCCCCAGCCCCGCGCTCCTGTCCCCCAGCCGCCGCTTGGCAGTCGCTTTCACCACGGCCTGGGCCGCGAACAGTGTCAGGCACGCGTGGGTTCTGCTGCCTCACTTCTCAGCTGCTTCCCCTTCACGGATACTCCATGGCCACTGTGAATGTGCATTTTTCACCGCGTGATTTTCGCAGCCCGAACTTGTAACTCGTCCCAGTGACAAACGTCCCCGGTTCTGAGCCCCCTCGGCCGGCCGCAGTGTCACCTCGCCTCCTCCCCACACCCTCCCGACAGCCCCTCCAGTGTCTGGTCGTTCAGTCCCAGTTTTCGCGACTGAACCTTCAAGAATCCAGGCGCATTTCAGTTGAATTGAATGCAATTCTTTGTGTCATAAATTCTGCACGGATGCTCCATAGTCAGTGCCTGGGGCTGTGGCCCACCCCTCCCTGCAGACCAGGCCCGGGAATCTCCCGGCAATGCGCCCCGGCCGGTCTGATCCTCTTCATCGGCCGGTCTGATCCTCTTCACCGGCCGGTCTGATCCTCTTCATCCAGGGCCGGACCCGCCTCTGCAGCCCCGCGGGTGGCTGTCCTCCGCCTGGGCCTGTTGCTTTTCTTCTCTGGGAGCCCCTCACGGAAGGCGGTGCTGGAGCCCAGGCAGAGGCAGGGGACGGCAGGTTGGGGCGCCCAGGAACCTTGGGGATGTCCTGAGACGGCAGGAGATCTCGTGTACTCAGAAGGATGCACCATTTAAAATTTATGAATTGGAGAACCAAGATGGCGGCATAGGTTAACGCCGGAGTTTGCTGCCTTGAACAACTACTTCAAAAGTGAAACTAAAAGACAGAACGGACATCACCCAGAACCACAGGAACGCTGGCTGAGTGGAAGTCCTACAACTAGGAGGAAAGAGAAACGCATACGGACACTCAGAGGAGGCACAGTGCTGAAGTCAAATTCTGAGGTACGGAGTGCGCAGAGCGGGCTGGGGGCGGAGGGCGCGGTTGGCGTTTTCAATCGGGAGGGAGTCGCAGACTCTGAGCTCCAGATCCCGGCGAGTCTTTAGCGACCCAGACTCAAACGAGAGAAGCGGGACTGTCTGGCTTCCGTCAGAGCGAGTGCAGCTTTCTCTCTGAGCTTTGCAGCGGGTGCTGGGACTCAGAGAGGCAGAGCCCCTGGGGACAGGACCGAGAGCTGCCATAACTGCTCTCTCCGGCCCACCCTGTTGATCCTGTGCAACCCACCCCGCCCAAGCCCTGCACAGAGGCATTTGCCGGATAGCCTCAGGCAAAGGCTAGATTAGCACCTCCCTAGAGGACAGAAGTTCTCTCACTGCTGACACAGCTGATTCTCATAGCCACTTGGCCTGGAGGTCAAACCCTCCCTGGTATTAGCTACAACAATCAAGGTTTAACTATAAGACTGCGCACAAAGACCACTAGGGGGTGCACCAAGGAAGCATAACAAAATGCGGAGACAAAGAAACAGGACAAAATTGTCAATGGAAGATATAGAGTTCAGAACCACACTTTTAAGGTCTCTCAAGAACTGTTTAGAAGCCGCCGATAAACTTAATGAGATCTACAAGAAAACTAATAAGACCCTCGATGTTATATTGGGGAACCAACTAGAAATTAAGCATACACAGACTGAAATAACGAATATTATACAGACTCCTGACAGCAGACCAGAGGAGCGCAAGAATCAAGTCAATGATTTGAAATGCGAGGAAGCAAAAAACACCCAACCGGAAAAGCAAAATGAAAAAAGAATCCAAAAATGCGAGGATAGTGTAAGGAGCCTCTGGGACAGCTTCAAGCGTACCAACATCCGAATTATAGGGGTGCCAGAAGATGAGAGAGAGCAAGATATTGAAAACCTATTTGAAGAAATAATGACAGAAAACTTCCCCCACCTGGTGAAAGAAATAGACTTACAAGTCCAGGAAGCACAGAGAACCCCAAACAAAAGGAATCCAAAGAGGACCACACCAAGACACATCATAATTAAAATGCCAAGAGCAAAAGACAAAGAGAGAATCTTAAAAACAGCAAGAGAAAGAAACTCAGTTACCTACAAGGGAATACCCATACGACTGTCAGCTGATTTCTCAACAGAAACTTTGCAGGCCAGAAGGGAATGGCAAGAAATACTCAAAGTGATGAATACCAAGAACCTACAACCAAGATTACTTTATCCAGCAAAGCTATCATTCAGAATTGAAGGTCAGATAAAGAGCTTCACAGATAAGGAAAAGCTAAAGGAGTTCATCACCACCAAACCAGGATTATATGAAATGCTGAAAGGTATCCTTTAAGAAGAGGAAGAGGAAGAAAAAGGTAAAAATACAAATTATGAACAACAAATATGCATCTATCAACAAGTGAATCTAAGAACCAAGTGAATAAATAATCCGATGAACAGAATGAACTGGTGATTATAATAGAATCAGGGACATAGAAAGGGAATGGACTGACTATTCTTGGGGGGGAAAGGGGTGTGGGAGATGCGGGAAGAGACTGGACAAAAATCGTGCACCTATGGATGAGGACAGTGGGTGGGGAGTGAGGGCGGAGGGTGGGGCGGGAATTGGGAGGAGGGGAGTTATGGGGGGAAAAAAGAGGAACAAATGTAATAATCTGAACAATAAAGATTTAATTAAAAAAATAAAAATAAATAAAAAATAAAATAAAATTTATGAATTATACCTGGAATTTTCCATTTAATATTTTTAGACCCTGGTTGACCATGGGTAACTGAAACCATGGAAAGCAAAACCGAGATGGTGGTGGGGGGGGGGCGGCTGTTGTAATATCTACCTGACAGGACCACTGGGGAGTTTAATGAGGGGATACTCCCTCTTGGGGAGTTTAAAAGGACTTAGCACCTCCCCCCCCACCCCAGCATATGTGAGCTGCTATTATTATTATCATTATTACTATTGGAATTCAAGTTCTGGCTGCCACTTCTTACTGAGTCACCTTGAGTGAGCTGTTCAACCACTCTGAGCCCCAATCCTCACCTTTTGTAACAGGATGATTCCTGCTTCCAAGGGCTCAGGGGTAAGTCCATAGGCCTGGCACATGTAGCAGCTAAAAAAAAAAAAAAAAAAGACAAGTAGCTATTGGTGTTGAATCACGTTATCCTTTCCAAAGCACTTTCTAACAGCTCAGGCCGGCGAAGCCCGGAGCACGCTGAGCAGCGTCTCGGTGCGGTTAGACTTGCTGAGGCCAGGGAGACAGGTGGCCTCCAGGGGGTCTGGTCCCCGTCAGACAGGGGACTGGCTCTAGAAACACCATCCCAAAGTGAAGGGAGAGGTGATGGTCACAGAGCAATGACAGCCAAAAGCGATTTCAGTGATCATTGCCCCATTTTACAGATGAGGGAACTGAGGCCGAGAGAGGAGAATTTAGTAAGTAAATGTTAGTAATGGCCACGATTTGACCACTGCGTGTGTCCAGGCATGTTGCTAAGCAGCTCACATGCAATAGTAGTTCATTTTACTCTTTCAAAAAGCCTATCATCCCTAATTTACAGATGAGGAAACTGAGGCCCAGAGAAGATAAATGACTTTCTCAAGGTCACACACCGCTAGGAGGTGGAGCGAGGTTTCAAATCAGGCTCTACTCCTCCAAACCCCAGGACTAGCATTTACTCAACACTTAGCTACACGCTCAGCTGTACCCCTTGGCTGGGTTTTTATGTCTTCTTAGTCCTCAGAACCCTATGCAGTGTGTGTGGCTGCTCTCCCCATTGCTCAGGGGAAGAAACTGAGGTTCAGAGGGTTGAAGCCACTTGCTCAGAATCACGCAGTGCCCTCTGGGAGGAGGAGGAGGATGACGCTTATAATAATGAGCTGGCATGTATTGAACTCTTCTATGTGCAGAGCTCTTTAAACCGTATCACCATGGCAACCCGA